GATTTTATTGGAACAATGGTAGTAAATCCTAGACTCTCTTCTTATATAGTATAATAATATTATATATAGTAATATATATGATATATGATTTAAATAAAATAAAAGTAGGTGGGCCATGGTGCCACGTGTCAAAAGAAGAGTGAATTTTATTCACTCTTCTTATATAGTAATATATATATATATATATAAGCTTATTAAACAAAGACCAATCTCAAGTCAACAACAAAAAGACAAACAATCTTTTATACTCTCTTTATTCACTTTCAATTGTCATTTGCGATTTTCGAAAGTTAATTTGATTAATTTTTAAAGTTAAATTAAATTATATTAATTTGATATTTTAAATAAAAAATTTAGATATTCAAAAATTATACAAAAAATACTATAAATTTCATTTTTTTACATATTAATATGATGAAAAAAAATATCATAAGTGAACGGAGATAATACTGTTAATGCTGCAACTTCCAACAATAATTATCATATCCTCACGTCTGTATGGTACCACACGGTTTACTTTTATCTACAAACGTGTAGCCATCACCTCTTTTATGCACCAATAGAATCCAATATTAGTCGCAATATACATTTCAAATATATCAAACTAGAAATTAAACACCATCTTCAGTTACCTATTTGGATATTGTTATACCATAAATCATGTGTTTGACAATGAAACAAATTCGAATTCTCTAACACAAATATTTAAACATCATGTAAGAGAGCCAAATTACAACGGCAACATTTTAACTTTTGATTGAAGACCCTCAAACTAAGAAATCAAATCAAATGGTTAGAAAATCAAATTAAAGAGCGAAAATTAATTAATACATACATACCTTAATTTAACCCTCATTAAATCTTTGAGGGAGTGGGAAACAATCCTTTCAACGATATCAATTAGTAGTTCCATCGGAAGAGATTCAATGTAGTTTTTTATACTCATAGTCATTTTTGAAGATTTCTTATTCTTCCTTTCCATCTTGGAGAAAATTAAATGAAAGGACCTTCTATTGTTGTGTTCTTATATAATGTCAGGAAATGTGTGAAAAGTTGCAACTTCTGAAGACGAACAAAAGAGAAGAGAAGAGGCACAACTTTTGACTTTTCAACTGAAAGTACTTTTTTCTTTTTTAAAAAAAAGGGTAAAATATGAAGAGTTGTAATTAATTTTTTTCTTGAAAGTTGTTCCAATGACAATAATGATTGATTGATGGTTCACACACCTTACACATAATTATTTATGAGAAATATGTTGGAACAGATGCGTTTCATGTGATACTTGTAACACATAATTGACATATGTTGGTGCATATGCAATATTAGGTTGTAAAATCTAACACATAATTAATATATGTTGGAACATATGCGTTATTTTGTAGTACATGTAACACATAATTGTCATATGTTAGAACATATGCAAATAATTCTATTGTAAAATCTAACACATAATTGACATATGTTGGTGCATATGCAATATTAGGTTGTAAAATCTAACACATAATTAATATATGTTGGAACATATGCGTTATTTTGTAGTACATGTAACACATAATTGTCATATGTTAGAACATATGCAATATTCTATTGTAAAATCTAACACATAATTGACATATGTTGGAACATATGCAATATTCTGTTGTAAGTAGAACACATAATTAAACAAATCACACATTTTATATAAATAACATAACATAACTTGATTCAAATTAAGATAAGAAGATAGGGAACATCATCCTCAAATAAAAAAGAACATTCATTAAAATTCAACAACACTTATGGAGCATTTCGAATTGGGCATGTAGTTCTTTTGTGGCCAAAGTCCCTACATACGGAACACTTATTTTTTCTTGTTGGAAATGATTCACCAACTCCACGTCGTCTCTTAAATCTCCTTCCTCCAGGTTTGCTTGGATCAACATATGGAGTAGGTATTTCTCTCTCTATGACATCCAAAGGGACGATCCAAGAATCTTCAGGTGGCACCGGGTGAATTTTCTCACAATATGTCACTATGTATTTTTCCACTGAATAATATGGAGAGGAGTACTCATAAATCTGATTTCCAAAATCGGCACCATATTGGGCTCGAAGCGCTGCCATGGCATGTGGACAAGGTATTTTGTCCAAGTCGAAAATTCTACAAGTACAAATTCTTCTTTGTAGATCCACCGTAGCAACATCACCATGACCAGTGACACTGAACTTGTAGTTAGTGATTTGATGAGCTAACAATTTGTTGCCCGCGTTGACATACTTTGATATGTCTTTTTCAATTGAAGGAACAAATCTATTTGCAGAGTTCACCAGCTCCATACGCCTCTGGTGAAATAAAAGAGCAAATCTCCTGTTTATTTCATCAAATAGAGCGACAATAGGAAATTCTCTTTCAACATCAAACATAGAATTCACCGACT